TTTACCCCCTTTGGCCCACGCCAATTTTCAGCTTTCAGCACTCTCACACTTTGAATGACAATTGTGCAGTCATGCAACGCTGTACCCAAACTAAACTTTTAACTTTTTGTTCACACAACTAGAGCTTTCTTTTGGTGGTATTTAACCACCATTGGGTTTTTAATTTTTTGCTAAATTATCAGACCCCCTTCAATATCAAGCCCCCTTTGGCCCCTGCCAATTTTCAGCTTTCAGCGCTCTGACACTTTGAATGACAATTGCACAGTCATGCAACGCTGTACCCAAACTAAATTTTTATCTTTTTGTTCACACAACTAGAGCTTCCTTTTGGTGGTATTTAATCACCATTGGGTTTTTTTTTTGCTAAATTAATGAAAAAAGAACAATAATTTTGAAAAAAAAAACCCACATTTTCTCTGTTCTGTTATAAAATTATGGTATATATCTGAAAATCAATCAATCCTGAAATACTGATGGCCAATCTAATTTCTTAAGGCCCAAAATTCTCAGAACAGTATAGATATCCCCCCAAATGACCCCTTTTTGCAAAGTAGACAGTCCAAGGTATTTAGTAAGAGGCATAGCGAGTTTTTTGAAGTTGCAATTTTTTGTCATAAATTTTTGGAAAATGAAAAAAATAACAAAAAAACTTTCACAATTTTTTTTTTTACATACTGTCAATAGTGCAGTACAACATCATCATATAACTGGTGTGGCGGTGATCAATCACTGGTTTTCAATTTTTATATTTTTTTGTGATTTTTTATCATTTTTATTTCCTTTTTTTCATGATTTGTTTTTCATAACACACTGTGACTAGAGTAGTATAATGTTAGCATAGTAACATTGTACTACTCTAGGAAGGTGATCAGTATTTTTTTTAACACATTATTATTGCTTATAGCAAATAATTTATTTGCTATAAGCAAGAATTTAACTGAATGAAATTGATTCATTCAGGTTTTTTCATTGTGATTAGCTGTGATTGGCCACAGCTAATCACATGACACAGATGGGCTGTGATTGGCCCAGTCTGTACATGTGATCACTGTGACCAATCCGAGCTAGTGACACAAGTGTATACAGTGTATGGCATGAAAGGAAGCCATCCATTGTTTACAATTGTCATGTGACCTGCTGTGATTGGTCACAGCAGGTCACATGGTACTGGTAATGGTTCGTTACACAGATCTGTCATCGGCTGTGTCCCAGGTACATCACCAATTGCTTCTCCCTGTGGGTGTCCACTATCTCTAGGCTCAAGTTACTCTCTTTCTCAACTTATGAGACCATTTATTGCTTGCTGTTGCAGCAAGTAACTCAGCTGACTCCTCTGTGACAGTTGATGGGGTGATGGCAGGAGTATCTGTAGATGATCAGGCAGAATAGAGTTCTTTGACAACTGTTTAGACTGCGAGCTAGTCAGCACCTGGGTGATAGAGTAGGAGTACAATGAAAGCTTGTTTACCCACTCCACCACCTCCTCCATGTTCTCTGGCTGTAGAGCACACCCAGCACCTGAAAAAAGAGCAAATGTGCCTTGCCTGTAGATGATGCACAACATCCAGGTCCACCACTGATCAACTACTGTGAACAAAGGCTTTGACTCTTTAGATGGATGAAGTCCTGACTTGCCAAGCTCTGATGGCATAACCAAAAACATTGAGCATAATTAAGTTATTGCACAAAGCAGCCACCATTATTTTATTATACTATTGGGTATGGTATGGGACAGTGGGCTCAGTGCAATGAGCTGAGTACCACAGAGCAAGGCCAATGACCGAAGAAATAAGTCAGAAGAGGCTTTTAAAGTTTTGATATAGAGCCTTCCGATTTGCAGATACACTCCTGCATAGGAATGTCATTTAACGTGTGTTATAGGTGGTGTGTTGGCACAATTAATGGGAAACCTATGTGATTTTGAAATGCATACCTGCATATGACTTTAAGTCTCTGGAAAGATGATTTTCTGATTTGTCAAGCTCTCTTGGCATGACCCATTTTATGACATCTTCTAGAAAGATGAGAGTTATTTTCTTCGTAAACTAATTGGTCCTCACTCAGCTTGCTGTAAATTCTTGTTATGACCAACTTTGTAAATGTCTCAGTTTTTTAATAGTAGCAGCATAGGATGGTTGAAGCCAGAGCTTTTTTGCCAAAGAATATGCGTACAATAGATACTCACCCCCTCCCCTGGCCCCATTTTATCTCCCCCCCCCCTTTTGAAGAATATGGAACCAAGCATCATTTTGTGGTGATATATACTGTGCGTAAATTCTGTGGAATTTTAAGATTAAAAAATGTGGTAAAATGTAAAAATCATAAATATGCATTACTCCCTAAAGTAATATCAAAGGCACTTCCAGATTATTTATACATTATGTAAACACTAGCACTCTCACACATGCAAGTACATGTGTACACACACACACACATAAATACTCACACATTTGTGGAAACACTAGCACCCTCTCAAATACACATGTACACTTCCCTGCACTTATCTGAGGACCTTGGGTCCAACTCTGTTTTCTGGAGAGTAGTAGTACAAACATATAAGAAGTCTGTCACAGCATTATGTATATTCCATCCATAGAGGCAGCTCCTGTTCTGGGCACATATCGCATCAGTAAGGTCTGGACCCAGTATTAGAGGGCTGTCTATACCCTCCTATTGGAGGCCCTGGGGAGAAGGTCCCTATCTCCATTTATAGGGCACTAACACTAGAGAGAAGATACCCTCCTTCTTCCCTATAGGACATTCACACTTCAGGTAGCAGATCCTCTATCATTTCTATAGGAAATTCATTCCAGGTAGCACATCTCCATCACCTCCCTATAGAAAACTCATCCTTCAGGCAGCAGTTCTCCTGCATCCCCTCTATAGAACACTCACCCCAGGTAGCAGATCCCCTCCATCCCCCTAATAGACACTCACACTTAAAGAAGAAGCTCATTTGACTGTACTTCTTCTGTGGATCACGAGAGTGCAGTTTGTTCTGCACTCATGTGACCCATTTTCAGCTGACAGCAGACTTTAGCCTACTGTCAGCTGACGTCACTCAGCTGGTCCAGGCTGGAGGAAATCCTGACTTTAAAGTGGGGGTCCACCAAGATGTCTGGACTGGCACAGGCGAGCCACTGAGAGCCTGAGCCAGTCGCTCCCACCTGATCCACAGCCCAGCGCTCCAGTGAGCAGACAGCTGTAACTGACAGTCACCACTCTCTGCTCAGAGCGGAGGGGAGAACTGAGCAATCAGTGGTGTTTGATCGCTCAGTTCTCACCCTTAGAGCATGTGGGAAACAGATGCAGCATCAGATTGATGCTGCATTCACCATGATAAGTATGATTTTAAAAAACCCATACTCTTTTAAGGCAATAGATCCTCGTCATCCCGTCTAAAGAACACTCATCCCAGGTAGAAGATCCCCTCCAATGGACACTCATTCTTCAGGGAGCAGATCCATTTTATCCCTTTATAAAACACTCTTGCCAGGTATCTGATCCCCTCCACCCCACCCCCATAGGTGTCATATCCACCTGCCATATAGACCCCTAAAGATATAAGATCCCCCCAATCTGATCTTTATAGGCTTGGGTGTCCACACTCACTCTTCAGGAAGCAGATCTAAGGTTCCCTGTGCAGGCTGCTCAGGGAAGTGATGACAATGAGAGTGGGGCTCTCCTTCATTCAGCACCATCACCAGAGACACCTGGCCAAGTGCAGAGGAGCCACTCCCCTCTCTAGGTCCGGTGTAACAGCACAGAGTTCAGGTTGACATTGATGGATCCTGAAGGTTCTGAAGGGCAGGTAGGGACAGCAGTCTTGCCATAGGCAGAGAGATAACTCTTTCCTGACCAGCTAAACTAAACCAACAGCAGACTGTCGGAAGGTGCAGGTATGCAGTATTGGTTTGTTCCGGGGAAAAAAACATGTAGTTGCATCATATATGATATATCAACTGTTCCATGCATGGATAAATTAGTAGGTCTGCAGACCAGTGGCCTTAAATGGCCAGTCCTCAAATGTAGCCAGAATGATACACACCTATTACACAAACACACACAAAATATAACGGTCAAACATCATACTATTTCATTTTGGTGATTTGCCAATTTACGAAGGATATATTTGCAATCAGAATCATTGCTCTATTGCATGTTAATTAGAGACAGAGCCAATATTGAAAGGCTATCATCTCTGTTTATAATGCACTACATTTTATTTACATAACTAAGAAAAATGTTTTGCAGAAGGTGACATATATAAATGCTGTTTAATAAGACAAGAACATAACTCTTGTTTATGAAATAATAGTATATAATCTCTGAAGTAGACAGCTTCTGTATATCTGCTTTAGGGAAAATACATGCTTTATGTTTAAGCCAAGTTAGTGTTGGCAAAGAATACATTGCATACTAATAAATCCATCTGCTTAATAGGCAACTCCTTTAATAGCTGATAATGGGAAACAATCCAGTTCTTATATATAAAATCATCAGATGTAGTAATTGTAAATTGCTGTCACCATGAATGTTGCTAGTGAGTACGATTAAATTATGACATTGTGAGGACTCACTCTTGTTTCTGTATGAAAGCGTGATGCTTCAGTATCTACATACTGTAAACTGTGATTAGGAAATAACATACTTAATAAATTCAGAAACATTAAACTGTATGTAAACAGTATGTAAACAGTGGATCTTTTGGTCTGATAATATACTATAAAAATATTGTATATTTTCTTTAACCACTTGCCTACTGGGCACTTATACCCCCTTCCTGCCCAGGCCAATTTTCAGCTTTCAGAACTGTTGCACTTTGAATGACAATTGCGTGGTAATGCAACATTGTACTCATATGAAATTTTTATCATTTTTTTTAGATGGATACAGCTTTCTTTTGGTGGTATTTAATCACCTCTGTTTTTTTTATTTTTTGCTAAACAAACCAAAAACAACTGAACATTTTGGAAAAAAAATGTTTTTATTAGTTTCCATAATAAAAGTTTGTAAATAAGTGATTTTTCTCCTTCAGTGATGTGCACTAATGAAGCTGCAGTGATGGGCACTGATAGGCTGCACTAATGGGCACTGATAGGCGGCACTGATGAGGAGGCACTGGTAGGTGGCACCGAGGGGCATTGACAGGCATCACTGATGGGCACTGAAAGGCAGCACTCATATATGGCACTGATAGGCGGCACTGAATGGCGCTGATAGGCGGCACTGACTGGCACTGTTAGGTGGCACTGACTGGCACTGTTAGGCAGCACTGATAGGCGGTACTGATGTGCACTGATAGGTGGCACTGACTGGCACTGGTAGGCAGCACTGACTGGCACTGACAGGTGGCACTGATTGGCAGCACTGATAGGCGGCACTGACTGGCACTGATAGGTGGCACTGACTGGCACTGATAGGTGGCACAGAAAGGCAGCTCAGATGGGCACTGATATGTGGCATTGATGTGCACTGGTAGGCACTGATATGCGGCATTGATGTGCACTGATAGGCACTGATATGTTGCATTGATGTGGCACTAATGGGCACTGGCAGGTGGCATTGATAAGCACTGACAGGTGGCATTGATGGACACTGACAGGTGGCACTGATAGGGCTACACTGATCATCAGGGCACACTGCCGTGCTTTGCCTGCATGGGATGCAGAGGTGTACTGTGCATCCATATGCAGGCAGTCCCATTCATGTCAATTGGGATGCAGAGTCTGCACGTTCTCTTAATCTGACATCAGTGTGGGTGCGGGTATGTGTCACGTAGACAGTGTGCAGGCAAAACACAGCCCTCACACAAGTGTACACTTAATATGCCTGTGTGAATGAGGATCTATTGTTGCCAGCATTCCATATGAACTACAGAACACATACTCCTATGCCGGGGGGAGGGTAGGATGTTCTGTAGCTCTTTTCTAGGGTGACAATGCTGCTACATTATGGTGAGAGACACTAGAACACGAAGTGTGGATTTCTGGGTAAAAATAAAGAAAAAACTAAAAAAGGAAAGAAATCTCATGTGGCAACCAAATTTAAAGACTAATATGCTGTAAAATTTTTCAATTTTGTTATTGAGTTTAGATTTGCTTTAAGCAAATTTGCAAATTTGCAAACGGATTCACTAAAGCAAAAGTGCAGATTCTTAAGCTGGCCATGGATGGATAGAATTTCGAATAAAAATTGTAAAGGAAAAGTCTTTTTGTACAAAAATTCACAGAAAATTAAATTTGAAATGAATGAAGTTTACTAAATGAGAAGCACATACACAGTTCATTTGAGAAAAAATTTGCATCCTGCTCCTTTCAATTTTCTCATCACTGCAGTCTAAATTGAACATTAATTTGACCCATTAATGATTAGAAAAATGAACAAACATTCTTTTTGTTCAAAATACTACCCAAATTTGGCCAATTTTACATTGGAAAAAAAAAACTCTGCTTTGCATGCATATTCATGTCTTCTTCATAAAGATTTGTATGGCCATCAATACGACACAACGTCATGTGTATACTGTTGCGGAACATAGTTTGTGGCCACAATTTGCTAATGCAAACTACCCTGGACACATCATTCCTTACTTTACTGCCAGAAAGTGCACAAAGTAAAGTGATTAAAGGGACAGTGTAGGTAGCCATATTTAAGAAAGTGAAATACACATGTTGTTTGGAAAAATCTGATTGGATGCAGCCTCTGTTCATCTGAAAAATTTCCAGCAGGCTCCTTTCACAAAAGCTGACTGAATGATCAATTTTTGTTGAGCAGAGCAGGGCCACTAACTGAGCAAATTTCACACAGTGTATGTCCAGGTTAAAGAGGATCTTCACCCCACAAAGCAAAAAATTTAAGGCAGCAGCTGCAAATACTGTAGCTGCTGACTTTTAATAACAGGACACTTATGTGTCCAAGGATCCAGCACTGTCCTCACCCTGGCCAGTTCTTCACTGGTCTTCGAATCCCCGGCACGTTTACTGTGGGAAGCCGGCTGTGACTCCCTGTGGTTTCACAGTGAGCCGTGTCGTTCTTTGTGAGGCCTGGTTCACACCAACGCAGTTTGTTTTTGATCCATTTTTGCAATTTTTTTTGCATTTTGCTTTGTATTTTTACACACACGTTTTTGCTGCATTTTTACCGCATTTTGCATTTTTTTAGCGTTCTTTTTGTTTGTTGTTTGTTAAAGAGGAAATGTTTTGTTGTTACATTCTACAGCAATGTCACCATTAAACTCTATTGTACAAAAACGCTGCTTTTTGCATTTTAAAAAGTCTCTAACCTTTTCAAGCCATTAGGCCTGGTTCACACCTATGCGTTTTTTAGTGCTTTTTTGCAGAAACGCACTACAGTCCATTTAACATGGTTTCCCTTGGGACACGTTCACATCTATGCTTTTTTAGCAGTTGCATTTTTGGAAAGGGTCAGTGACTTTTCTAAATGCAAAAAGCAGCTTTTTTGCTATAATAGAGTTCAATGGAGACGCTGCTGAAATGCATGTAGTGCGCTTTTGCAGTGATTTTGCCACATTTTGCATTTTTATCCTGCCCAGCAACAAAAAAATTTCCCCGTTAAGCAAAAAAAAAAAACAGAAAAAAAATGCAAAAAAATTGTAAAAACGATGTAAACACACAGCACAAAGCATGTGTAACAACGCAAATCTAAATACAAAAAGCATTGCAAAAACAGATCAAAAGCAAACTGAATGTGAAACGAGCCTCAATGGTTCCACAGCCCTCTGGGACCTATGCAGGGCCGATGCCAGCACAAGGCTGCTTAGGCAGCTGCCTTAGGGCACCAGCATGGGGTGGGCAGTAAAATAGGAAGCCTCAGCCACTCACTGGGGATTCAGATTTTAAAATAACTTTCCCTCCAGCAGGCAAACTAAAACCCCTCTCTCCTATGGGGCACAACGTGAAAGCTTTAGTTTGCCTGCTGTTTAGTAGACTTCTGTCAGAATGAGAAAGCCGGAGAGAGCAATAGGCAGTACCGCTGTCAGAACAGATCCAATGATACAGAGGAGGGCAGAGCGGTGGCCAGAATCCTATGTGTGACGGGGGGCGGGGCCCACTGTCAGGCCAGACGGAAGTTTGGATATAGGACTTGTGAGATCTGAGGGATTAGTAAACCCAAGGTGTGTGTAATGGAGGAGGAGGGTATCTGGGGGTGTCTTAGGGGAGAGGTATCTGGGGGGTGAATAGACTGGGGGTATCTGAGTGATCAGACTGGGGTATCTGGAGGGTGTGATTACAGTGAGATTATCTAGAGAGGGGTAATCAGGGTAGGGGATATCTGGGGGGTGTGATCAGGGTGGGGGGTATCTGGGGGTGTAATCAGGGTGAAGGTATCTGGGGAGGTTTGATCTGGGAGTTTGTTTATGGGGGAACTCCCACCCCATCATTGCACACTGCCGCTTAGTGGAAGTTCAGCTCAATTTTCAATGGTTTGTGACGTCCTCACACTGCGTCTCATCACATTATGAGTGCAACATGTAGGAGGTACCAGCTCAGCTGTAGACAGTGAGGGATGTGGGGGAGGGGGTCAGAAGGAAGGTGGGGAGGGGGGTGTGAAAATGCATCTTCACCTGAGTAGACAAAAATCCTTGGACCAGTCTTGGAGTAGGCTGTGTCCCAGATGGCTATGGGCAAAAAGAGAGAGGGGACTGCACTTCCATTGGGATCACCTAGGTGATCTAGGTAATTGGAAGTGCAAGCAGGTACCCATCAAAACAAAGTACCTGCTCAACCCCCCCCCCCCCCCCCCCAAAAAAAATGTGTTGTGCCAAATGTGGGGGGGGGGGGGGGGGAGAGAGAAGAAGGGCCAAACTTCCATTCAGATTACCTAGGCAGTCTTAGTGAAAGTGGGAGCGGGTACTTATCAAAACTAGGTACCTGCTCCCCCAAAAAATGCTATTGTGCCAAATGTGATGGGGGGGAGGAGGAGAGAGAGGGGTGTGAACTTCCTCTCAGATCACCTACTGTAGGTGATCCGAGCGGAAGTGGGAGGGGGGTACCTATCAAAACTAGGTACCCACTCCCAAAAAAAATGCTATTGCACCGAATGTTATGGGGTGCGGGGGGGGGGGACATAAAGTAAAGCTTCACCTTTAGGATGAAGCTCTACTTTAAGTTACACTTATATTTACAAGAATACTGAAATGTTTTTATTGTCAAATTATTATAACAGCAAACTTGACATGCCTCCCCACAGATTCACTTCCATCAGTAAGGTGACCTCTTTCCTGTTTATCATATGTGTAAAGTAAAGTGCTGCCATGCTATAGTGTACCTAATAAGCCTTGAGGACAAAAGTGACAAATGAGTGGCCTTAACCTATATGAAAAAAATGTCCTTTGTTTTCTCCTGGCTTCTCCAAAACATTTATGCTGCAATTTGCTTGTACAAATTGAGACTTGCTCCTTGCTTATTTCCTACATTTTATTTGATTTTGCAGATGTCCCCAAAACTATCTAGGATATAAAAGATGTCCTGTGCGTGGCCAACAGAATCTGTAGTCCTTGACCATTTTTACATTGCTACAAATACAGAAGTGTTCTCTTTCATAAGATATTCTAAAGTGTTGGGATTCCATTCTAAGCTGCTTAGCTGCCTCATGAGACAGTCAGGAGTAATCAGTATGTACCTAATGCACCACATTATTAAGCATGTTCACTTCTAACTGCATCTATGGAGAAGTGACATAGCCATCCTTGGTCAGAAGAATTGTCATTCAGGGGGGAAGGTGGCTTTGGATGGACTAGTAGATTTGGATGGAGTTTACATTAGTGATTAACAATCTCAAGCCAAATGATCAGCATTTAGCCCCCGGCACTGTCACATGGGAGGAGGTCACATGTTTGCCTATGCCATGAAGAACTAGGTATTATCTTATGCTGCCAATGGGCACAGTGACAATGTTCCTTTATGGAGAAGAAGGATGTCAGCAACACAAGTCTCTATTTTTCTCTTCTCAGCCACATCAGTGTCACTACTATTGAACTGAAACATTCACCCCTACTAATGACCATTTTCTCACTAGTGTCAGATAGCCATTTATGTCATTTATGTCACTAGCTGCTTCTCCTGGTGTTTCTTTGACTAATTCAATCAGTTCAGAAAAAAAAAAGTTGTCTCCTTTCAAGACCCACTAGCTCCTGCTGGTGCTATCTCTGCAGTTCTTTTCTTCTTCATTGCTGATTTACACCATAGCTTATGCTTTATAAAAAAAAAAAAATACTGTTAGCATTTTACATGCACATTGTCATAACACCACAAAAGAAGAAAAACAAAACATGAAAACAGCATTTGCCACTGAATATGTATCATAATATTTTGATATAAAAAAGTATATCTTTAAAACTATAAACC